TGCCAAGTTAATAAAACTCACTAAATCTATGTAAATACACAAGATATATTCCTTTTTTATTATTGATTCCTTGAAGTGCATTATTCTTTAGATTTGTGGGAGACTTTATCTTTTTATTTTGCAATTTCATTATTTTAGTTGTTGCTGATGGCAAACCCTTTAAATGTTGGTGTAGGTGATGACGTGGTTGATGAACTAGAACTTGTAGTTTGGTCTGAAATCATAATTTATCATTATATAGATATTCATCATGTAATCATATAAAATATGTTATTTTCTTAATTAAATTAATGTAACCTCATGAAAAAAGAAGGTAGGCTAGTACCAAATTTAAATAATATACATACTATAAAAGCTAAGTCTATTGAGAATTTAAAAGAAGTTTATTCAAAGAATGCAGATGTTCTAAAACAAACTTTTTTCTGTTGTTTACTTTTTGATCGTGCATCTGGGGGAAAAGTATTTGTGCAAAACATACTGTGAACACTATGAGCTGTCACTGTTAGGTGCCATATTAATACAGTTTGCGGCATAATGGACTCCCACATTTCCGAGGAGAATTTAAAAAAACGATACAAGATCAAGAAAAAAAATTTTATTTCTAAAAACGTTATTATAAAAGGTTTTTTTAAAAATTATATCGTCTAAATGATGCCTTCACGAGCGACGCACATATGGAGCCGTTCTCGAAAGTTTTCCATCACTCTCGCCAGCATATCGAATAGAATAGCGGAGGTTTCTTGACGGATGGCCTCTTTTAGTTCTTCAATGGTTCTAGGTCGGTGTATGAAAACTTCAGTTTTAAGGTATCTCCATAAGAAATAGTCACACGGGCTCAAATCAGAGGAGCGAGCAGGTCATGTAATGTTTTCCCGTAAGGAGATCAGGCGACTAAAAAACATTTTTTGCAATAAAGCACGAGAACAGCGGGCCGTATGAGCTGTGGCCCCATCCTGTTGAAACCAGAAGAATTAGTTCGAAAGGTAGGTTCTTCTATAATTTTACTTCGTAACTTAAGTCCACTAAAATTATGCGATGGTATACAAGATTACAAATATAATCTTTAAAAAACTGTCTTCTTGAATGTATAATCCTCACTGGATGTGGAGCTGGGGAAATGGTCTTGGTTCCTAGAATACCAATGATACCAACCAATTTGTCATTCCAGTTCAAACGGCTCCAATTTCCTGTGAATTAAAGCTTAGCAATGACTATTAATAAGGCACAAGGTCAAACATTAAGCGTTGCAGGTTTAGACTTAACCGTCCAGTGTTTTTCCCATGGTCAATTGTACATAGCTCTGTCACGTATCACGTGCTACAAAATCTATTTGTGCTGGCCTCAGAAGCGAGACACTTGAAGTGGTGTATCCAGAAATATTTAATGCTTAAGACAAATTGATATGATTGACAAAAGAATAAAAATCACACATCATAACGTAAAAAATATATTCCACACTTAAATATAAAATTATACTAAATAAATTAATCAAATTAAATATCTGATATAATTCATATTAAACTTTTCACATATTCCTAAACATATATAAATGTACTGAAATCTAGCAATAGCAAAGCATTGCCGGGTCACCTAGTATAATAATAATTAAGAAAATAGAAAATTAATGTTTACTGCAAAAGAAAATTTGGACACACTTCATACATTTAAAAATTGGATGGCAGATGGAACATTTCAAGCAGTTCCGAAATTATTTTGTCAATTATATACAATAAATGGTTATAAAAATAGAACAACTATTCCGCTTATCTATATTCTCATGACCAACCGAACGACCAATTCATACAACGAAATGTTACAAATGCTATAGCATAATAATCCGGATTTAAACCCTTATTCTATCTTAATAGATTTTGAAAAAACATTTGAAACAGCGTTTAATGATAAATTTCCGCAAATCAAAGATAAAAGGAAGTTATTTTCACTTTCAACCTGCCTATGGCAGAAAGTCCAAGAAAATGGTTTACAGGAGCTATACTCTGGAAATGTTGAATTCTCATTACAAGTACGACATTTGGCAGCTTTGGCATTTGTACGAACAATTAAAGTTAAAAACTATTTTGAAAAATTAGTTGACTCGACTTATTTTGTTAACTATGAAAACAATTTATCGACGTTAGTAAGCTACTTCGAGGATACCTTCCTGGATCGGCCGCGCAGATTCAGATTAAGATTTAAAATCACCATAACTCCCATGTCCTATAAAACCCCATTATCGTGGACCTATTATCTTAAGTAGGTACATAAAGTTAATTAACTCAAAACTACTCATTTCAATTTTGATACCAATACAATAAAGTTTTCAAAAAAATTAACAAAAAAATAACTAATAGAAGAAAATGTTCTCATTTGAAAATCAGAAATTTATATCTCCTCAAGATACTTCTTCAGCAGATGCCGCATCCACATGTGTTGTCTCCGTTTTAGTACATACGACATGGCAAATTTTCGTTCTCTAGTTTCAATATTGTATTGTTAACTTTGATTTAAGAATGAATTGACCTATTATCAAACTTTAAGGTAAAACCATAATCTGTGTTCTCTCGAGGTTATTTTTACGATATTTTAATTTCTAAGTGAATTATGGACATTTTCAAGTATCAATACTTTAAGTACTCAAAACTTACTTTAAAACAAGGGTGCCCCAGGGGTGGAGGGGCCATGGCGCCACCCCCCTCCCACTGTTATTTTTTGACAATGATTGTACTTTATAGTATATTTTTATGAATATTTTAAAAGCTATATGTTTTTCATTTAAAAAACTAATTGTGTATTACATTTCTTGTTTGTACTGTTTTTTAGTATTAATGAATACTATAATAATACGGACCAATTTATAGTCCATTGATAAGTGATACGTATCGTGCTATCGCGATCGTGGTCTAGCATCTGACTTGTCTGTTGTAAATGCATTCAATAATATCTTCTATTATTTTCCTTGGTGTACGCGGAATACCACTTGGAGGAAAAACTGATGACACGGCTAATTTACTAGTTTTTCAACATTTTAGAGTTGAAAGTATACTTATAAGTATCGTAGATTCTATTATGTAATTTGTAATATGATTTTAAAACGTGTCAAGGAAGCTGAATGTTATTCAATGGATATAGCGGGAATAGAACAATTATCAATATATTTAGAATATGTGACTTATGAAATTAACTAAACCGCTATAAAAGAAGACTTTGTTGGGTTTATTCCATTGGAAAAATTGGACTCAGAAAGTATATCAAATAAAATTATTTTTAGTTTACAAGAATAGGGTTTGAACCCAAATTAATTGATGAGACAAGGATATGATGGCTTGGCATGTCTATTTACATACCTTATTTAGATTCACTGATAACATCGTTAAATGAAAGGTTTTCAAAAGACAATTCAAAGAATGAGATTATTTCAGTTCATCCCAAGTATTTAAAACAAACTAAAAAAGAAGAATTTATTATAGAACTTTAAAATCTAAAATCATTTTATGGAGAATTTGTAGAGAATATTGAAGAAGGCCAAGTATGGTATAATATGTGGATAGAAAAAATGATAACAATATGGACTCTCAAAAGGTATTAGATGAAGCCACATTTCTACCTTCAATAAAAAAAATTAATTTTAATAGCACCTACACTTCCATCTGCTACATGTAGCTTTGAAATGTCTTTTAAGCTTGTATTACAATTTATAGTATATTGTTTTGTTTGGACTATTTCAATTATTAACTATGTTTCATATTTGTTTTAAATTAGCTAGCTCAAAAGACTTAAAACATGGCATCGTAGTACTGTGACCGAGAACAGCTTGAATGGCTTGTCAATAATGAATATTAATAAAACTTATGTGCTAAGTCAAAAATCAAACATAACAAATGAAACGATAAAAATATTTGGTAGGAGCCTAGGCGCATGCAATTTTTATTCAATTGCTTATAATATTAATATTTTATAAAATTACTTATTTAATATAATATAAATAATGAGTTAAAAGTTTTTTTCAGAGCTCTTGATGTATCATAAAATATTTTGATGAAAATATACAATCCATCATATTATATCATCAGTTTTTTTACAAATTTTGTAATAAGTTATACACTAAATAAAGACAATTATTACAGTACAAAATAATATACTCTGTTCGGCGAGAGACCACGACTGCGCGGCGGACGAAAACTGGACGATCCCAACCACTCTTACTCGCTACGGCTACGCGCCACCTAGCCACCGGTAACTGCTCAGAATTCGGTCCATGCACACAGTGTCATGTATTTGTGATTTCAATTCACATGTTTGAGCTCGTTTCGTGTTATTTAATAAATAATTAATTTTAAAAAAATGTGTTGTATATACTTTATAATAGAATATTATTATATTATTATCATTGGTATAATACGTAGGATATTATTTTAACAGCCGGCACAAACGTTGATTTGAATTCATTACGTATACAAAATAGTTTTAGTTGTAGAGAGGGGATATGTGAAGGAGCGCCCCTATTTCCGTCAGTCATATGCGAGAAATGGTCCTGGTCTCTCGGCGAACAGAGTATAATATAATGTGTTATGGCTATATATACGTGTAAAACACACCTTCCCCCGGTGAAAATTTATGCGGGCGCCCTTGCTTAAAAATTGTGATGAACGACAAATTGCAATGTCATACGCGTGTAAGACGGAAACATCCATGTGGTTGCGATGTCCTCTTAGTATTACAAATATCCTTAATGATTTCAAAATCATAAGGACTTAAGGTATCTAAAAATCAGAATTTAAACAAATGTTTTATTGAAGGGAAAATAGGGAAGATTTTAATCAAAATATCACTAACGTCAGGGATTTCTTACTGTTAGCTATGATTGTTTCCGTCTTTTATTGTTTTTTTTGATTTATTGTAATAAATAAAAAAATGTATCTGGTTAACGATAATTGATGTTTGAATGCTTATATCGATAGACTGTTTATATTTATGTTTAAATAATTATTATTTATAAAAATGGTCCATAAAAACATTTTTGATTATAATACTCATTTGTAAAAATACTGTTACAACACAGTTATGTCGGGATGTTCATCAAGAAAACCTCTTATCGTGTTATTAGAGAGCAGAAGACGGCAATTTATTTTTACAATGTTGGGTGAGGATAAAGTTTGTAATTATATTAGTTTTCTTTTAGTATTTATACATACTGATTACAGGAACGCAAGCCTGGGCATAAACGACTTAAAAAGTTATAGCTAAGTTGATTTTAATCAAATCCAAGTTACGTTTATCACTTAATTTATAAGTAATTAAATAATAAATATAATGAAATCATTATTAATGATACATATTCCTTAAAAATTTACTTTTTTTTTCTTGTAAACCTTATTACTGGCTATTTATGTTGTAGAAATAAAAAATATAAATAACTTAGTTAATTGTAATGTTCCACATTCCTTTTTTCTTAACTGAGTTAAAAAAAATTGGGATAATTATTAACTTAAAACTCTTTAAAATATTTTATATCAACTTAACTTAACTCAGTTAAAAATTATAATTAACTTGCCCAGGATTGCAGAAACGTATATAAGGTGGGTTATTTGGGTAGGGTTCATTCCCCAAAATGTTTTCAAAAAATATTTATTTTTATGACCTACTTCCGTCCACAAATTATATTTTTGTGAGCATACCTGTAGACTTAATATACAGAAAAATAATATGTTTAAGTCATTTTAATTAACTGATTAACTGCGGAATACTAATACCATTATTAAATTATTATGAAGAAATCCAATTAAAAGAAGACGTGATGTAGGTTAGGGTTGGATACAAATGAGGGAGTGGTGTTATTATAGCTGAATTTTTGGTTAGGTACTACTTCAAATATTTTTATCTTTTATAATAGTTTATTAAGGTTATTTACAAAAAAGTGTTAGGTAAACTTTATTGTTTGTATCCGTACCATCTTCAGACTGAAAACCCTCATATGTAAATAACTTTTCATCGATATTTTAGCGTATCAATGGCCTATTACATGTTATAGGTGGGTACGAGTATTTTATTTATGTATCGTATATAGGTGCTTATTTAGTCTAGCCCAATAAACCCATTCTTTTCTTTTTTAATTCTTAGATCACTCCGGTTCTTTGAAATTGATTTCTTAATTATTCCTTAAGTATGCAACAGGACTGTCAAAACCCGATTTCAATTATTTAAATTGTTTACAATAGTTTGTACTAAGTGGAAAATGATACACTTCCAGTAGATTCATCATGCATTATTACTGATAATGATCATCTCGACATTAAATTTTGCGTCTTTAATAATATTAACATTATTAAGAATTTAACATCAAAACTCTCGATTAATCTTTAAATATTCCAAAAAATATGTGTCATCACTAATCACATTTTACAAAATAATTGTTTTGATTTTGTTGATTCATGAAGATTTCAATGAAAGTGTTCTGCTCCAGCTTAATTTAATTGAGAGGTATATAAGTAAAGAATTTCAATTAGTGTTGAAAAAATTATGTCTATTGAGAGAATTTTAGGAAATAAATTAAAGATTATCTATCTATTGTTTTTAAAATGAATAAGTACCTAAATATTATTATTTGGAGTTTATATTATTGTAGTTTTAAAATTAAATAAATCACATTTGAATTATTACTAACCAACCTTTTTTCCATATGTATTGCTCATTCAGAGTGAATGTATTGAGGCATTGGTGAAAACACTTGTGAAGCAAAAACACTCGAACATCACCTTAATTATTATCTATTATAAATAAATGTTATAATATAATACATTATGATACCTAAAATTATTAGTTTTATAAAAACTATGATTCCTATTATTATTTTTTCAAAGTAGTAAAATGTAGGTAGTTTTTAATTGTATTATTTAGTAGCTTCGTGTTCATTAACGATTGGTATGTGTTTGGAGTGGACGTGGTGTTCGACAGACATAGAAAAGTACCAATCGAAAATGTTGAAAGATCTTCTGTTTCTTGGAGCAATTACCAGCGCTGGACCTGCGGCAATTGTAGCGTCATTGGTTGGTCTTAAATCGGTACTTGCCATAGGCATGGTTATTACTTTCTGTGGATCCGTCATAATTGTGTATTCAATGGGTGTATTGACGGCACTATATACAGGACGTATCTTGCAAGGCTTTGGCGCTGGAGTCGTGTGTGTTATCGTACCCAACTTTGTTGCTGAAATTGCAGAGCCAAAATTCAGAAGTAAATATTTTATTGCATCAAATACATATACTTTATAAAACACGTTCGTAAAAGTCGTAAATACAAAAACCTCCTTTAGAATCTAAACAAATGTATCTATGTGGTATTTATGTTGTATGTGTAGTGATCTCTAGCGTACAGGTACCGTTGACTGAATAGGATAAGGTAGAGTTGTGATAATTGGGTGCACAGAATACTATGTTAATTGTTTTTATTTAAATTCTTCAAAAGTGTTATGTGTTAAAATTAAAACTATAAAATATTTCTATACTTGTTCAAAATAAGATCATCACCCGGCAGCCAAGTTGTGCGCATGGGCGTGGCTTTGTTCTAAAGCACTGGTCTTGTGAGTCGACATGGTAGGGGAAATGTCTAACAACGCATCTGACCGCTGCTTGTCGAAAACTGGTCACCGTAAGGTAATGATCTCATTTTGAACACAGTATATGTATCAGAATATTCAGATCTTGAAATATTCTAAATATCTAGAAACTACACGATTTCAACTCGTATATTTTCTGAGTTCAAAATATCGATGAACAAATTAAATACGTCTATTATAAGTATAATTAAAACTTTCAAAAGTCTACTGGCTTGAAGAGGCTCGTTATACATCTGTCAAATCACTTATAAAATATCAATTTATAAATCATTAGTGTCTTATTTAAAACTATCCTCCACCAGACCATTACAATGAGAATACTGCTCTCGAGGGTCGTAACGCGGTGCAATTGAATTCGCTAACAAATACAGGTAGTTAATATTTTGCCCATAATAAGTATCTTTGAATAGCTCACTAATTTTTTTTCCTAATAATATTGGTTACTAAAGTGTTATTTTCCAGTTATTATCTTACACAAAATTATTTAGTTAATATAGTGCAAAAATCTTACAAGAGGGGAAAAAATAAAAGTTAATTAATTATTAAAAATAAATAATCATAAACATAATATTAATATATCATAAATAAAAATATTATATTAAACCATTTGTCATGGCTTATACTTATTGTCTTATATATTTTTATGTATTGAAACATAGAATTTACATTAGTGTCATGTTTTCACATTTTATCTTCTAAAAAAAAATTGTATTTTTATTTTCTTTCCAGTGTGGTTTTTTTATATAGGAAATTCTCATAATAATTGTAATAACAACTTGAATACTATTTTATGCATTTTTTTTTTTAAATTTGAATTTATTTTGATGTGGTGAATAAAGTTGTGAATTAAATTTAGAATGAAAAGACGAGTTAATTGGTCGATATTCACTATTGCTTTTTTTCTGACCAAATTTCCGATGGAAATATTGAATCATCGTCTAAATAATTTCCAACTAAACAATCATTTAATTTGATAAATTTTTCATTCATAGGCTGTATTTTGGGTAGTTAAACGGAAAAGCAATCCCCAACTAATTGTCGATCTAGAAATGGCAATCCATTAATATAAGATAAATATTGCCCTCTTTCTATCTTATCCCATTTTCTTCATGATTAACATGTAAAAATATTTTTTTCTTACGTTTTCACATCCATGTCTTTCAAAATATCATCCCTCTTGTCTACTACTAGGCAAGTTTGGACGTAAAGATGCTTGAGCTTGAAATGTATTGTCTTATATATGTCTTTGGTTGTTATTGCATTTATATTATCCTCCCCATTTTAAGCATTTAATGTTTGTTTCATTTCATTAATGACTGTCATTGATGATTGGTCTCAGTCGTAATACCTCAAAAAAAGTCAAACAATGTTTTAAATATTAACAAATTTGGAAAATGTTAATGTTAGCATGTTGTGAAAATTTCAAATGTCTACGGTTATTCGTATTGTAATTACAAACATTTTTTTCAAAAATCGATTGATGGAAATTCGTTAATTTACCGATGAATTTTTAACATCTCATAAATGTTAAAAACTAACCGAACCAATGTTAGAGGGTCTACATACAAAATTAAAATATGTCTTAACTCTATGCCTAAAAGCCACCCTAATAATGCTCTTTATTATTTTATTTATTTTTTTTTATATTATATAGGTCTGTTAACTGGTTTCCATTATCTACACTTGTTAATTGGTATGATTTTGTCACGTGTCATAAGAGAATTCTATAATTATTCATATGTGAATATGGGAACTGTAGCTATGGTTGTTGTGAACCTTCTAGCACTGTTAGCTGTCAACGACCCACCTTATTATAGGATGAAGTTTTGTGAAAAGTGGTCTAGTATTTATAATCTTGATTATAATCTACAGATTCAAGATTATTGTCATACTAAAGTGTTACATCATAATTATTACAAAGTATGATTCCAGGGACTAAATATCTACTGAATTATTGTTAAATTTATATGTATAATTTCACAGATTTTTAAAATCGAGGACAACCACTATTTGTTTTTGTATTTTACGAAAAAACGATTTTGGCGACCGCTATTGATCAACGTCTGTTTAATTAGTATTCAACAATTTAGTGGTCAATTTTCTCTAACGTATAAGCTTCAATGTCTTTACGGAATACTATCTATAAGTGAAATAATACCAACCGTGACTGCAGTCCTACTTCTTCAAGTAAGTATATCCGTGTTGCATGAGGATATTAAGTATTTCTAAATGAAATACCTATATATAATTGAGTATCTGTGATCTACAGATACTCCTAGTACTTAGTCACAGATTGGCAACACGCATGCCAAAGTTATAGCCTATAGCCCAGGTGGGTTCTCACGGCTTGTGGCTCGGCGCACAGTGGGAGGAATATGAGTTCTAGCCGGCCAAAATTAATAAGGTCAAAAATCAATACATAAATGATAGATAAATAAATATTACATATATACTAAATTGTATTTCAACAGAATTTATTACTTTATCATTTATTACTATCAAGAAAAACAAAACATCACCAAATAACAATAATATTAGTTCATTTTATAACTTAAGTCAAATACTTATAATTTATTATTTGTTTAAACGTTGACATTGAATTTGAATAATAATATTACAAACAAAATCGTTTTATTTTTTATAATAAACATTTATGTATGAAATTTAAAAATTAAATTTATCTGGTACTTAATTGGATAACTAAAAAATTAATAAATATAAAAAACATTAATAATTATTCAGAATAACTACTATTTATTTCACTATCACTAGTTTCTGTTTCATTCAGTTCTGAGCTTTCGATGTTAAGTAAATGAATGGCTTCTGGAGGTAATTTAGTATGTGATTTGTTAGGTTGTGTTCTTAAACTTGTAATTAATGGATCAGATGACACTAATAAGAAATTAAAAATATCTGTATTTGTATGAATACGTGATGATTTTCGAGAATGATGTTCTCTGAATCGATTGTAGTTTTTATTACTTGCCTCTTGAGCCTCTTCCGACAACTGCCCAATCGGTACAAGAGCATTTTTTATAATTAATGAGCCATGCATTAAAATTTTGTGTATACTTGGTGGCATTCTGTACCAATTATAATGTTTGACATAAAGTTCTGCAGTATCTTTTGCATAGTTTTCGAATTCGTCATAATTTATTTCAGAACCACAAAAAATAACTGTTAAAATAGTTGAGAATCGGTTTAATAAATTTAAATTGATTCCAGTGATTTCAGCAACTTTTTCTGTGTTCCTAAAAAACCGTCTAGCTAAATTTCCTGTATTAGACGTACCTCTACCCTGAACAACTTTATCAACTTTAATACCTAATTCATTCCAAAGACGAAATTGTATTTCCTTCTTTTTTTCCTCAATTTTCTTCTTTTGTTCGGAAGTTGTTCGTTTCGTAGTAGGAGCCGATTCTAATTTATACGCAATGTGCAATACTAATTCTAAAAATTAACAGAATAAAACAATGCTACTGTCAGTTATAGAATTTTGTCTGCACTCGGTATCATCAGTTTCTATATCATGAAAACTTTGGTGGTATTCGCTGTGACCCGAACTACCATCGCACCCCCACTTACATATAAATTTGAGCTCGGAATACTCTTCCGCATAATCAATTGTATCATCAAAATCTAATGTTTCCCATAACCGTTTAATTGTATGGTCCAACAAATTTTGAAGTGGAACTGACGCACTTATTTCACTTATAATTATACTTTCAGGGTAACATCTATATTTAGCTAATCGAACTCTATCATACGAAGGGTATATGTCAGCTCCGTGTTTTTTAGCACCTAATCTAGTTTTGTGATACGCATTTTTAGTCATGTGAGTATCGATGATAAATGCTACAGCCTCATCATCTGTGTAAGAAGTATATTTATTTTTCACTTCAGTTTTATACAATTTTCTAATCTTTATTGCACGTTGGGGAGAATACTCTGTTGCCTGGGAAAGAAGATCGGCTGCAGCACGTTTCCCTTCAACATACAATGTCGATTTCGCTGCACAGATTAATTCATCTGATGAAGTTATTTCTCTTAGGTTTTTTATTTGCCTGCGCTTAGAACGATCACTTGACTCTAAAAAAGATTTACGTGGCCTACCAGAACTTGTGGAAGGTTCGTACAATTCTTCACATTTTTTCAATAATGGAATTTTAAATTCTAAATCCAACCAATTATCATTTTTCTTTAAAAATTTAGTCAAACACCGATTTGAATCTAACCATTTCTTCTTTAACGTACTACTAAATCCTTCAACTTTATTTTGAATACATTTATCAAATTCCTCATTGCCTTCTAAATTCGATTTTTCTCCCAGCCTATGAGTTATGTAAGCAATCATTGCATTTCGTGATTCATAAGTACTTGATGTTAAAGTAAAACTATTATTTTTTAAAACTTCAAATAAACAGCGATTTTTTACGATGCTACTTTCATCTAGAAAAATAAATTTATTTCAATAAGGGGCAAATCGGGGCAACTTATAAATGAAATAATTCAAAGTGTACATATATATGCTTAAACTAAAACAAAATTCAAACCTCTAAGAGCCTCTAAAAAAAATGTCTACACAATGAAAATTAAATAAAGTGGAATTTCTTTAGATTCATGATATCTATGAATTTTTGTTACGACATATTACTTAGTAAATAGTACTTAGAACAAATGTAACTTACTCATGTCTGTTGGTTGATCCATTTTTGATTTAGCAAAAAACAATTACATTTATACTCATGAAATAACGACAACGGACAAACTAAAATGAAAGCTATGAACGAATAACAAGTGATTGCGCTAAATGCAATAATCTTAAGTACATTACCTACTCCTATCAGCTCATTAATTAACAATTATTACATAACGTGATATATTTACCATCGTCATATCAGTGGGTACAAATATTCTCAGTATTAATCGTTAATTACAATACCTAAATTTTCTATTTTTGGCCAGCTAGAACTCGTATTCCTCCCACTGTGCGGCGTGCTTGTTGTACCGATCTCTAATATTTACATTTTTCCACCAAATATCTGAGTTTAAAATTACTAAACTCTGTCTCAAAAGAGAACAATCACTTTTTGCGCATCGCAAATGATTCTATTGGAACCTCTAAGACCACGTGATCTCGCTGAGAAGTTAACGCGAAGAAGCGCTAGCACCAGAAGTTGGTTGGAAATGCATTATTCGCTTTTGAGACAAAGTATTGTGCTGTAGATTAGATATCAAATCTCTGCGCAACTGAATTTTTTATTGACCACTTATGACTGGCCCACGAACCACCGGTTGGGAACACTGTGTTAGGCGAAGAGCACGGGCGCAAATAGTGTTTGTTAGCCGAATACTCATATGACCATTGTATGTCCATAATATGTTAGTATTTCAAAATAATTTGACTATTTTTTTAACTATTTATAGACATAAGATATTTTTTATTTTTATTAGATTTTTGGAAAATTATTGTCGATAAAAATAATTTTCGCTTAGTCAAAAAACTTGAAAATTGCTACGAGGTTTTTCATACATTTTTTATGATACAAGTTGAGAATATTAAAAATGCACAGGCACTAATTTTAAGAAGCATTTTAAGTTCAAATTTTGGGAAAATTATGACATTTTGAAAAATTATTTTTTAGTTAAAAATGTATAAAATGTTCAATTTATACAGCCAAGGATTGACAATTTAAAATAAGGTACCTCATAAGTTGCTACAATAACAGTTTAAAAATATTATCGATTAGGCACAATCTGTTTTCATAGACATTGATATTATTGCCTAGTCATTTTAGAGAATACCTATCCATCATAGACAATTAAAGAAACAATTTAATAGTAATACATTAGTTGTATGATTGGCCAGTCATTGTCATTATCGACCAAGACTATGTAGTCATTAACAATTTATACAATGAAAAACTAACAGCCAACCGGGTAGTGATAATAGGTACATAATATATTATGTTATTTACTTTTTAGGAATAAACAATGGGTACTTGATGAAATCAAATTTTTAATAATTTCAATAGTTGTATGGAGATCATGTATGGACATCACTTATTATCACATGGTAAGCTGCCATGGAACTTTAACGTTTAAAGCTGATTCGACAAGTATATTTATTTGTTTTGTATCTTTGAAATCCTTTAGTTCCTATAACATTGTTGACCCAATCGACTTCACGGAGTGTTATTTCTTTTTCGGCAAAAAACTTCAGGTTGTTTTCAAGGAGAATAAAACTTTTTGTCGCAAGGAAAAATATCTATTATTGTGTATAAATGTTAGTGAAAACCGTTCTCTGTACCTTAACATACTTTTTATTAATTTAAATTAATTTCTTTATTTTTAAATTTGCGTACATAATTTATACATGTTGTATCCTATACTAATGACGACAGTCAACAAATTTCGGGGTGAGCCTTTAGCTTGGTCAACATCGGGAATTGAAACTCGAACATTTACCCCTACTTCAAGATCTTCAAATTTTTTATTAGATTTTTTAATCATTTTTTTGGCCTGATTTTCCAAGCATTTTGCAGATAATTGTCTTTCATTCAATATTTGGTCATGTTTAACATTGACTAAAATATAAAAAGCAGTTGTTTAATCGTCGCGATTGTTTTTTGGAATAATTTATTTTTTCATTAATTTGTCATTTGCCTCATTTCGAACCTTGCCACTTTCACATTCCTGGGAACCCTCCCAGGAAGCTCAGAAGGAAATGTTGTAGAGATTTTCTCAACGAGTTATTAAAGTAGCTTTATACATTAAAAAAAAAAAATATATCAAGTAGGGGTAGTGTAACCACTGGGTGACTCCTCCCATCGCGTTTTCATATGAATACTTTCTAATATCACATATTTCTGAAGGAACAGATTGTATATCTAATAAAAAATAAAAAATTAATAAAATTAATTCGTCATTTGATACATAATAGTGTACACTGTACACTCTCTGAGTCATTGCTTATAGATTTAATTCCTCATTCTTTTACATTGAGAACATCATACTCAAAAATGTATCTATAATCATTTGCACTTTTCTTCCCATATTTTTCCTTAGCTAATTTCACTTGATGTAATCTTAACGTTTATTTCTCTTTGTTTAAAAATGATTTATTTTCCTCAAGTTTATTCTTCAATAAATCAGATAAATGATAATGCATCGTATAACTTTTGACGCATTTCATTTGAATTCGTGTTTTAAAAAAATAGTTTAACTGTGATTAGTTGCTGTGGGTAAACTATATAATATTTGTTAAAAAACACTAAACAGGAATCTAATCTTGAAGTGGGTATTAAAATTAAAACCATTAAAGATAAAATTGACTACAAGACGATACGAAATGTTATAATGACTAGCCAATCTATCAAATTACAATATCGTCTGATTTAGAAAGTCAATGTTATAAATATATGTCCATTAGAAATAATGACAAAGTTACCCAGACATTATATATTATATTATATACAAATGCAACCTCTGTCACAAGAACGCCTTTACCGATTTCATTCATCTTTTTTTTCAAGTAAGATGACATCATGGAACAGGTTTTTAGACATAAATTTGGTTTGAAAAAATTACGATTGGAGTGAAATGTGTGGTGGATATGAAATGACAGTGGCGATCTGTTCATCAAAAAATAAACTAAATCATAATATATTTTTTGTTACTAATGACAACTATTAGATATACCTTAGTAAGAATGGTATTCCTAATTTTTCGTCGGTTGTCCGAAAAAGCTAGAGGATATTAGATAGGGTAGCTTGAGCCTTGTAATTTTTATTATCTAAATATATCTAGGTATAATTTTGACACTTACAAGTTAAATTATACATATACATACGCACCATGCATTTACAGCGCGTGTAGGGACCACTCCTGGTTATTTGACTCGTGGCTCTATCTACGCGCCGTGGGAACCACCCTTAACGATTGCTGCTCGATTACCATTTCTATTTAGTATTTTATTATATTGTATCATATGGTACGGTCAATTTATGTTTAAAAATTTAATTTTTGAATTTATTCATCTTTTTTAGCTTATTACATGTATTGTATGTTTATGCATCGTCAGTGTTTTGGAAAAGAAAAATTTATTAATCATTTCGGGATTTGGAATGGCAATAACTTTATCTTTAATGAATGTCACATACCATATAGAAATTAAAGATAAAGATGAACTATGGTTAACTAGTTTAATTTTAATTTATATTATATTTTATTCAATCGGATATGGTCCAGTTCCTTGGATGTTGATGCCTGAACTATGCCCAAGATCAGTAAGTTAACTATTACATGTATAGAAGTATTTAACTGTTAGGTTAGGTTATTTATAAATATTTTTATAATTAAACTGTACTGTGACAAGAAGATATTTACTGAATTATTTTGATAGGTAGCAGGTACCTAATTTATAATATGTAATGTACAAATAGGTAGGTACTGAGCAATTTTAATTCAGTTAGCTTTTTTTTTTCAGTCGAGATTGTGGACTTCTGGCATCACAGTCAGTTTATACGCTTTCCTGAGTTTAGTCAATAATCAATCATTTTATATTATCAATTTTAACATTAGATTAGTTTACGGAATGGACATTTTCACAATTGTAAGTTTAATTGCTGCATATGTTGCGTATTTGTATGTACCAAAATTAAAAGACTGTGTTCTAACATAAAATATGTTTTTTTTTATTGAATTCGAAGTTTTGTAAATTGTTTTATGGTTGCTACAACAAAAATATAATTATCACAATCATAGATAGTAATAATTTCACACTAATAATTTTGTTAACAACTTTTATATAAATTTAACATGATTCATATTTATAAAAGAAAATGTACTGTAATAGAGTTAAAAAAACTACCATTAGTTTAAGTAATCATGAAAATACATCTTTGTATTTTCTACCAAATTATCATTAATTGTAAAGTAAACATTTTGTTATAATGTCTGAATACGATTTTTATATTTTACATTAACAAGATGTTATTCAATTATTACCAAACCGCTTGGTAAATGGTACTAGTGTTAGATAAAAATAACCGATTGTTTGGTAAACCCTATCCAACAGTATCACTGACATCACAATTATTACAACTCGATCTATATTTTCGCTGCAGCATCGTAGCGACCTGCACACTATATGTTTGCATTATTCAACTGTAATCCGTAATTACTACGACCACAATGCCATATTTTCATTTTTCAAATGTTTGTACCTACATTTTAGGTTACTCAGTTGACAGTTTTTTGATTTTTCGGTTTCAAGTGTTATTTTAAAATACCTAAATAAATCTGTTCTCATTTCGGTCGTAATGTGCGCTCGTTAATTGTTAGAAGCATGCTCCCCGCTCTCTTATCAAATCTTTAACCACAGAAAAAACGGAAAGAAATCTCAAGGCTTATCAAAAAAACTATCTTAAATTTACATATTTTAAATTTAACAGTGATGCTTGGATTCAGATATTTCCCTTTTTTTTGATTTCTGTGGTCTGTGGGTACACGGTTAATCTGAAATTTTTGCCACGTCACCAACATACATAACTTAAAGCGGTTTTCGGGCAAAACGCTCTTACCACTTTTCTTCGTCGACGTCCGAAAAGCTAGCAATAGCATAGACATATTTGAGGTTAAGTTCCTTCTTAACTCAGCAATCGTTGTCGAAAATCTCCATCCATCAAAGAGCCCTCCACAATGCTATGCCAGTCTTACGGACATACCCAAAAATACTGTTTCCATGATTCACAATGTGTGAAATGTGAGGAAAATCACACCTCGGATTCTTGTACCAAGACACTCTACTCTCCAGCTAGATGTGCTTTATGCAATGACAGCCACCAACTTCAAAGGCTGCCCGATTATAAAAAACTTAAACGTCCTATACTTCCAATTAGGCAAGATCCTCCCGCACCTACTCTTTCTGAAAACAATTCTACCAGAGCTTCTCCTGCTACTTTGCTACTTATCAACCGTCTTATGCTCATATCACTTCCTCCGGTTAAAACTACTCTCAACTTTATTCAAGTATTGAAACTATATAAACCTAATTTATCTCCGAATTATCGAATATCATAAAACCAATCCTTTCCCTTATTCTTACTTCACAATTAAGTAAGGTCCTATTATAAACAATTTAAATATATTAATTTTATATTATATTAATATAATATATTAATAAATGTAGTAAATCAAGCTTTACCACATTGTTGACTATCTATTTACGTTCACATTATATCATATATATTATATTTAGACTTGATTGTAATTTTATGTTCAAATTATCTACTATACGTAATGTAATTTTATCTACCTAAAATGCAATGTTAAGTTATCAGTCTTATACTTGTGGCTTTAAAAAAAAAAATTTGAACTTACTAAAATGTTGTTATTGTAAAAATTGCCGACTCTGATGTTAGAAACATGCTTTCAGCTTGGGAAATAAATTCGTATATTGATGTATTTAAAGGTAAGACATGTTTTATACCTACTTTATGGTAAATATTATAAGTAGGTGGTATCTATTTAGATAATAGCATTGAATATATACCTATAAATATTATATTATATAGTTTACCTACAAATACCTACCTACTTATTATGTACTCAATGGTGAAGTGTAGAATATAGATTATACATAAGTGGTTGCCGGCTTGTTAAACTTAAAGGCATTAAATTATTTATTGGCACTTATTTTATGAAAATGTACATACCTACAAGGAATAGATTTATAATAACTGAAAACTGTTAATTGCATTTGATTATGTACTTTTGTTTTTATATATTATTGTCACAACACTGAATAGATTTATCTATACAGCTTGGGAAAATACCTTATCATGATTGTACTTCCTAACTATTTGGAATGCTTCACAAAAAGAATACCAAATATTTTTGACTTCTATTATTGTGGGCACCGAAGACGATTCTTTTCCTCATTGACCAAGGTACGACTAGCAATTTTACGACTATTACAAAATGTTACCATAATCTATTGTTTTCTCTAAAAATAAAGAAAATCTAAATAATTTCATTAATTGGCAAACATATTGGATTTACGTTCTTTAAAATGTATTTTATGAACGGTTGAAGATACGAACAAATGTTTATTGTTTATTATTATATTACAAATAATGTAAAATTACCGTCATTGTTATTGAAACGTAGATAAAACTTGAATGGCGTTAAAAAAAAATTTAATATTAGCTATGAATTATACAGATAAACAATATAATAGTTATTAAAGGACGTTGAATATTCAAATAACTGGTTCTAAATTGTCTTCCAAGAAGGACTGTTTATCTGTTTTCTTCTATTATATGCGCTTAGTAAACCTAAATTTACATGATAGTTCACTCTTGGTTATTGATGAATGTTCAATATTTTGGAAGAAAGCTTGAATTCGAACACATGATAATTCAGATTACATTAAAAAACTGAAAAAAATATATGAAAAATGGAGAAAAATAGACAAAAATAAAACAGGAACAACAGAATTACAAAAAAGTAAAACACATGAAAACAAATTCAAAAAACCATTAGACAATTTATTTGATGTAGCCCTCGCCAATGACTTACAGTTAATTAAAATATTAGGAGATAATCAATTTTTATTTAGACAACGAGAAAAAGGTCGTCCTGGTTGTATGCTTGGTACAGATATGAAATTAGCGGATATTGAAAAACGTAAAGCAACTCTTATAGAAAATGAAGAAAAAAACGAGGAAAAGTTAAAATTGACCTCTTAACCCTTTCAGTCCTGAATTTTTTTTTTTTCCAAAAAATTTTTTTTTTCATTATTTCTTTATATTAGGGTATAAATCACGTGTATTACCAATTTGGTGAACTTTGGACTTGCCATATGGGTAATAAAGTTATGGCTTTGTACGAGGCCACTGGTCGGTAAGGGAGTCAAATAACTTAGTGATTGACAGTTGTTATTATGCACAATTTTATTGAATAAAATTATAGAATAAATAAAAAAAAACATTTCATTCATCTTGAATTTATTTTAATTTTAATTCATCTTGAGTTCATAATAATAATATTATTATTATAATATATAATTAATTATACATATATATTGATAGTAAAGTATATGGTTTATAATAACAACAAAAAAAATAACATAGAATCTCATCTTGAGTTCATAATAATAAAATAAAAATAAAAATAAAAATAACATTGAATCTCATCTTGAGTTCATAATAGTCTTTTACAATTACATTTGGTTCATGGTAAATAAAAATAACATTGAATCTCATATTGAGTTCATAATAGTCTTTTACAATTACATTTGGTTCATAGTAAATAAAAATAAAATAATGAATAAGCATAAATAAGTAACAAATTTTAGTCTTATAAATTTATATATCACAAATTGGTATGAAATTAGGAACTTTATTTGATGTGGTACAATCTGAAGCATACATTTCTTTTAGTAAAACATAAATGAACACCACATTTAGTACATTTTACAGGACTTCGTAGCTTGCACCCCTCATTTTTACAGCGAACAGGGTAGTTACTATTGTCATTTGTTGGTAAATGGTCAATGTGATCAAATCGTACCTCTTCAAATGGTCTTTGATCAATATTCCTGAGTCGTTTTCGAACTGGAGTTGATAATGGTGATGGACTATTGCTAGGCCTACCTCTTTTCTTTACAAAAGTCTTACCTACTAAAATTAGGGTTTCACCTAAGCTTTCCTTGAAGTGCAGTAGGTCCATTGTTTTATAAATGCCAATATGTTTACAATCTAATTTGTATTCCAACCAACTATTTACACAGGCCATGTCAAAGGCATGTGTGATCATTCTCAGTGTCCACTTTCTAGATTTAATAAATGTTCTGAAAAAACTTACAAGTTGATCATGCTTATCTACTCCTCCCATAGACTGGTTGTAACATTTTACAATTTCTGGCCTATTTACCATAATGTAAGTTTTTTCTTTCTTGTCATACCTTTTTATGTCATCAGGAACCCCAGAGGTTATGAAATTAGACCCTAATACCACTGCCTTATTGTCATACCATTTGATTAATCCAATATTACTATTAGGCATGTTAGAACTCACTTCAAATGATGATCCACGACCCATTTTTGATAGTTCTTTGTCACTGATAAAAGGCGGATTTGCAAACCGATTAACTCTAACTGTGCCTGCAGAATATATGCAATTTTGTTGTAGTGCATGTAATAAGTTGAAAGAAGTGAAAAAGTTATCCATGTACAAAAAATGACGGTTTTTTTTTAATAGCATGGTAAGTTTCAAAACCACAGCACCACCTAAACCAAATACTTTTTGTATATTACAATTTAGTTCAGTGGTAGATCCTTGGTAAAGAAGAAAATCATACACCAGACCACTCTCGCCACACATAAGATATAACTTAATTCCCCAGGGATTTGGCTTACCACGCATATATTGTTTTACGCTTAGTTTACCTTTAAACGGCACCATTTGCTCATCGACACACACATTTTTTTCGACAGGTAATTCATTACATCTTTTTTGCAAAATATTGTAGATTGGCCTTACTTTTACAAAACGATCTTTATTGTTTATTGGAATGTCGTTGTTATCCATAATATGAAAGTTTGACCTTAACTCAAAAAACCTGTTTCTTGTAATATTTTCAGCAACAATATTTATTCTGGACTTTTGTTCCCAATACATTCGTATTCGTGGTAGACCAAACACCCCCATAAGTAAATGAACACCAACAAATATTTTCATTTCCCTGGAGTTTGTTTCAATCCAAGTTAATTTACCATTCTGTTGTGCATAAGTGTTTGTATATGTAGCCATCTCATCATACACATTGTCTGGAATATATTTCATAAAATAATCTAGTGGTGTTGGTATTTCTTCGGGAAAATGACGTTCTTCAAGTTCTTCTAAACTAATTTTCGAAGGTACAAAAGGCTGTTTTTTCCATTTTATACTTCTTTTATCAACAAACGCTGGCATAAAATCATTTTGGTTATCAAATGGATCTGTGATTGAATCTGGCACAACCTAACATTCAAAAATGTATTGTACATAAAAGGGAGTAGGTATCAATTGTTCAATATGTATTGGGTACTTACATCAATAACATTATCATGTTCATCAATATCCTGTGCAAGTATAAAATCATCATCATCTTGCAAATCCTGTGTAGGTATAAAATCATCATCACTTTGCAAATCAAAATCAAAATTCTCTATAAAACGATTAAATTCTTCGGATTGAAAATGTATGTCCTCTTCGTCAGAGAAATCTGATAAATCCGAATTTCTACCATCTCCTAATAATTCAAGAATATCTTCATCACGTAATTTATTACGTGACATTTTACGAAGAAGTAAACAACAATAAGTCAATAAATAAAAATTGTAATGTTAACGAATAACACTGGTAGGTTAACACTGGTAACGAATAACGACCATAGAAAATAATATAATTTAATAACGAATTAATGAATAAACGAAGATACTCCAGCAGACAGTTTGTATAGTAATTGAGTGTTATAATTTTGTTACTAAGACTAGAGAGTAAACCAATTTAAAAAAGGAAATAAAAATATAACTATCATCAGAAATGTGTTGATAACGTAAATCATAGATAATATATTATCTATGACGTAAACGCCCAGTGGCTTCCCTGGATGCCATAATATAACCATGGTTGTACGCTTCCTCGTGAGTCATATTGACAAAACGACAGTTTTTCACTATATGAATACCTATTTTCATGGAAGAAATGATAAAATCAGATTTTTAATATCACAATTCTTCGAATTATCAAAAAAAATAAAACTGATAAGAGGATTTTCAAAATTTTCAAATTTTTTTTTGTATAAGCTCAAATAAACCTTTAAGTACATACACCACACGTTTGGCTCAAATTTTAATAGAATCTAAATAAAATTTGCTTTTTAAAGAGATATATAACGAGTTTATACATTATGTAGATGATTATCTATGAATTTCTCTAATACATGGCTTCGTACGAGGCCAAGGGGACCGAAAGTTATTAAATTTAAGTTATTAAATAATAAATATAGACAAATAAAAAATAAATAATAATAATATAGACTATTTAAATTGTATACATATTTTCTTAATTTTTATTAGTATTATAGTTTATTTTTAAATGATAATTTTTCAGAATTAATTCAACTTTATAGTTCATCTAGTTCTGAAGATCAAGCTAATACCTTTTAGAGGAGGATTTAAATGAAATTCATCCTTGCTCATTACAAATGCCTAGTTCTTCAAACCCAATACGGGCAAAAAAAATATTATGACATCTCGCTTATCAGCAGTTCTAGATAGATGCAAAATTAATGATCGGGATGCAGTGCATTTATTAACAGCTGTAGCTGAAAATTTTCATGTAAATTGTTTGGAATTTACAATAAATGGGTCAACTATTAAATGATTCCATGAACATTTTCGTAAGCAGTCATCTGAAGCTAATAAATCAACAGTTATTGATCAAAATTTCAATTATTTAATTGTACACTGGGATTCTAAACTATTGCCTGATATATTAAGTAAAGAAAATATAGATAGACTTCCTGTTATTGTATCAGCTTCGAATGTAGAAAAACTTTTAGGGGTTCCTGCTCTAACTTCAGGTACTGGAGAAAAAATATCTTCGGTGGTGTAGAATTTATTATTAGATTGGAATTTGGTGAATAGGGTTCAGGCGTTGGTGTTTGATACCACTGCAAGTAATAGTGGTCGTCTTAATGATGCATGTGTTCTTTTAGAACAATTAATAAACCGTGATATTTTATTTTTCGCATGTCGTCATCATATATTTGAGATAGTTTAGCAAGCTGTATTTGCTCATATGCAAGTTACAGTTATGAATGACCACCCTGACATACCTTTATTTAAACGGTTTAAAAATTACTGGAAAAATATAGATTTAAGCAATTTTAGAATATATTCTACTTTTCAATATTCGCATAAATATATTTGAAAGACGTTGAAAATGATTTATTTTTATTTTGTATACAAAGATTAAACCTTATTTTCCCGAAAGATGACTTCAGAGAATTTCTCGAACTGGTTTTAATATTTCTAGGACCTCCTCGTGGAATTAAATTTCGACAACCAGGCGCTTATCACTTGGTATAATGGATGGAAAAAGCCATTTATTGTATTAAAATTGTATTATTTAGTGATCAGTTTAAAATTACTACAAGAGAACCAAACTCTCTTGATGAAGTTTGTTGTTTCATAGTTAAATGCTATATTCAAGAGTGGATCACCGCACCAAATCCAGTTACAGCACCCATGAATGATTTGTTGTTTTAAAATAAACTGAAGAACTACGATGGTAAATGAGGAGAATAAGAAAATGTATTAACCATTTATGGTATTTGAAAAAAGCAAGTGAATAAAAAGCGAAGGAAAAAAAGCAAGTGAAAAAAAGCATATGGAAAAAAAGCGAATGAAAAAAAAGCGAAAACCAATTATTATTATTATAGGTATACATTTTACATAATAACAAAATTTACTACTAAAGTATTAATTTTAGGATTATAACCTATGCAATAGCATACTAGTGAATTATTTTGATCAAATTTATATTTCGGGAATAAATAGACCAATTGGAATTTCACGGCCAGTTAAAAGAACTTAATTTCGAAATATTCCCCCAATCTTCCCACCTACTACTTGGAATGTACACGAAATAACTATTAAAAATGCAGAGCGTACTAATAATCAAACAGAAGGATTTAATCATCGATTTTTTAAACTCGTTAGCTAGTTAGCTATAATCATCCCTCCATTTGGACACTGATTATAAAAATAAGATTAGAGATAGATTTAAACAGCACTATCATGTTGATGCACTTAACATGTAATACTTACACTTATGACTTATTATAATATTATAATATACACAATATATTTAATTAATGAATTATTTTTATTTGATTTTTTTTTAACAAACTATTTGTAATAATTTATACTTAAAATAATAATAATTGGTTTTCGCTTTTTTTTTTCAATTTGCCTTTTTTTCCTAAACTCATGTTTTCTATATTTGACGATCGTGTTAATAACAAAACAAAACAACGTATGGCAAACCACATATTAGAAGGGAAAAAACAATATTATAGTAATGACAGCGAGGAAAAAAATGAAGAATCTAAACAAAAATTAAATTAAAAGTTCGATGACTTAACTCATTTTTTAAATGAAGATCCTCCATTTGATTTATTAACTAATATATCATGGAAACTATTTGCACGGTTTCAAATTTCTGATATATTTTAACGAGCAGACCCAAGTACTTTGAAAGTCATAGAAGGACATAAACAAGCTAAAAAAGTTATATCGGCATTAAAAATTGTTAACGATGCAGCAGAAAGAGGTATCAAGTTGACAGAATAATATAATCTTTTTATTTTCCAAAAATGAGGAACCGACAAAATTAACTTTACAAGAATTGTAAACAAGAACTTGTTCTTTAAAGAATCAATGGAATGCCTAATAATTAAATATACTTTTCAGGTTGTTCAAGAATATCGCAAAACATGTTAAAAAAAAATGTTGAATATTAATTTTATTAATTTCTTCTTCTTCTTCTTAACAGCTTAGCGGACCATGTAGGTCCATCGCTGCCACCATTATTTCACTCCATTCGCATCTTAAATTTTTACGTTATCATGGATCATTTTTAGATCTTTTACTATTACATCCTTCCATCTTGTTCGAGGTCTTCCTACAGGTCTTTTCCCCACAATTCTTCCTTCTGTAACTCGTTTTATAGTTTTCCCCTCTGCCCTCCAAACATGTCCAGCCCATTCTTTCCTCTTGCTTCTACTATACGAAAATATATTTGGTCTTCCATATAAATTCTGTAGGTCATTGTTATGTCTTCTTTCGTATGTTCTTGTTTCTATATTGTAAACTGGGCCAAATATTTTTCCGAGCGCTTTTCTTTCTGTTGTACATAACTTAGCGTAATCACCTTTCGTAGTAGCCCATGTCTCACATCCATATGTCAACACGGGTCTCAAGTAACTTGTGTATAGAGTTACCTTCGATTCTCTCGATAATAGCTTCGAGCTGAATAGTTTAAGTAGGCTTTAATAACATCGGTTCGCGCTAGCTACCCGTTCTTTTATTTCTTCATGTACGTTGTTTTTGCTGTTTATGTTTATAGTTAAATATTTAAACGCCTCTACTTGTTCGAAGATATAAGTATCTACTTTTAAATTTAAATCATTTTTGTCATTCCGTGAAATACACATATATTTTGTTTTCTCTTGATTGACTTCTAGACCCATAATCTTGCCTGCTTCTAAGAATTTTATTGTGGTTTGCTTCACTTCGTTTCTAGAATTACCCAGAATTACCACATCGTCTGCATAAGCAAGGGTGGTTTCAATTTCACCTACTTCCATTTTTCAAGTTTCATTTGCTGTTCTCACTATCCATTCCTAAGCAATGTTGAATAACATCGGTGACAATGTATGTCCTTGACGAAGGCCAGATTTTACTTCGAACTTTTCTGACATTTCCTGTTGGAATTTTACATTCAAATTAGTCTTACTATTACACATCTTGATTAAATCTATATATTTAATTATAATTATAATTTATATAATATTCTTATAATTAAACTGAATAATTTAACAAAACTGTTGATTCAATAATATTTTTACTCATAACATTATTTGTAGAAAGTTCAATTATATTTAAATGTATTAATATTGTTGTTCAAATGTCAATAATCCGCATGTCAACATTATATATTTTATGTTATATTGTATAGATTATCAAAATAAACTAATGTTTTGGAATCATGTACCAATTATTATGTAAAAATTGAAAAGATATTATATGGTGTGAAACCATATTGTACAAATTCATTGATTTGAATAAAATGCATATTTATTGTATGATATATCAAGAATTGTGTAATATTTCCAAAAACTTTTAAGATCATTGCCCTCATCAGTTCTTTTTTTAAGCAAACTTGTTCTATAATTTTTCTTCATAGAAGCAATTACCCCCTGGTCATTGAGTTGGACGAGGGCTGTGACATTAAGAGGCAACAATTTGACAAAAATACTTCCATCTTCCGATTTCAAATCAACTGGGTGGGATGGGGTATTATCAATAAGCAATACAGCTTTCTGGGGTAAGTTTGAGACTTAAGATGTTCTCTTACTTGGAAAATAAATTTTTTTCCAAACTACTTTTTAAATATTTCTTGATTCATCCAGGTTCTTTTTTGGTTAAAGTAGTGTACTAGGAGGTTTTCAGCTCTTGTCCCTTTAAAAGATTTCGGCTATTTGATTTACCAACCACAACCAGTTTTA